CGGTTGGCAAAATTGTTTTTGAGATGGGAACAGGAGCATTCTGTTTTTCCTGGACTTGGGATAAGCCGTCACTTATGGTAGTAATCAGCCAAAATTTCGAGGTCCCTAGTCAGTATTTCCTCAGTCCTTTCAATTGATTTAAACTCTTTGGACTCAATTGATTTGAGCTCTTTGAACTCTCCTCAGCTTTGAATGAGTGGATTGAAAATTTACATATTAGTATTTAGGACGGGGTGTCGAACTGATTTGTTATGAGGGCCGGATCTGACATAAATGAGACCTTGTTGGGCCGGCCCATGTATGTCATAAAATGTAATGCCAGGTAGTGAAGGTATAAACTTTATAAATGACACAAATACAAAAGGTCTTTTTTTACTTAAAATAAAAATATGCTTAAAACATTAGCACTCTTGCAATATTTTGTTTATTTAACAATATCTCATAATTGACACCTCTTGCTCTGAATTATTAAATCAAAATGTCTGTGCTGTTGCAATCTTGAGTGTGCTGTTCAGGTGTGTATCTGTAAGCTGCAAACCTATGATGATGCAGCAGCAGCAGAACTGGAAGAAGAAGCAGAAGACAGCCAGTTCCACTGCGGGCCTGATAGAAGCCCTCCGGGGCCTGATCTAGCCCCCAGGCTGCATGTTTGACTCCCCTGATTTAGTGGGAGTGCTCAATCGGTCTGCATACTCGTATCAGCTTGGTTACATATTTTATATTATTTTATGCTTCCTGTGTGTAACTCTGCCATATGTTAAATAAAATAAATAATAGTCATTGTTACTGAACTGAGATTCAACAGGAAGAAAAGTTTCAGAAAGAACAATACATCACAGCCTTTTCTCTTAATAAAGGAGATATGTTAATATGAATGTGTCTGGATGCACCTCAACGTCACTTAATGTGGATTAATTTCCCTTTAATACCCTGAAACTATCTTGCTTTGCTCACTGTAAAATGGTAGATTTCCCCCATCCTTTCAACAGTATGCTTATATGCAAAAAGGGGATTTCATTTCATGGTAACAACAGTACAAAATTGGAGCAAGTTAATTACTCTGAATGTATTAATACACTGTGAAAGATTGGAGTCATTGTGTGTGTGATGTTTAAAATAGTTTGTGTGAAGGGAGGGTTGCCATCTTTCAATTACCCACTGCTGTTTCCTTTAATAATGTAGTAACCCTGAGACACGAAGACATTTTGTAGAGTCCTTTTTCAAAGAGAGTTTCCTTGCCACAGTGCTTTTTAAAAAGAAGGGGATATATTTCCATTTCCTCTCTTGGACTTTCTGGAGTCCCTGGAATTCTTTACTCTGGTTGCATGCCTTCTCTTGAGGCTTAACCAAGGAGCAACAGCTTTAATCCAGAGCAGTATTTCTTTCGACAGATTCTCCTCATAATCTACTTAGTCTGGGACGCCTTTTGCCCTAAATCTCTCAGCATTTGGGAGGAAACTGGCTTGCAATTCTTTGTGTGGCTGGCTTGCTGCATCCTTTTTAACCCTAAAATTGGAGAGAGAGAGAGAGAGTGGAACAAGATGCTTCATGTCACTTGAGCACAAATGTTTTGGATCAGGTAGAACAGAATTTCCTTCATGGAGTAGTCCTTTTGCCCTTCACCTAGGAGGTCAAAACTGTAGCTCTCCTCTTCCCACAAGCCATAATGGTCAGTCCGTGAACTCTTTCCGGTCAGTCCCTGAACTCTTTCCAGTCAGTCTTGTTCACATGAGAAAATGGGTTAAACCCGCTAAAAGGAGGCTTTTTAAAATACAGAATAATCCGTTACTTGTCAGCTCCAGTGATTTAAACACCCTCCCAGCTTCCAGTGGTTTGAACACCCACAGAATAAAGTTATCTTCTCTGTTCTACCGAGTACTTTCAAATCAGATCTCACTAACAGGACACCTAAATACATTCTCTCTGGCGTTCTTCCATTTCCAGTATTGCGGTGTCCGCACTTTCACACAGACACACTTCAAACATTTTTATTCTCCTACCTACAAAGTCTGAAACCTGCATGCCCGATGTAATGATTGCACACATACATGTCTCACTGGAACATCCATACATGTGTTGATTTGCACACGGAGGGTTGTAACAGAGGGAGCCAAAGCACTGGACTAGGATCAGGAAAACTCAAATTCAAATTCCCAGTCTGTCATGAGGCTCACTGAGAGAGTGATCTTGCAGTAGTCCTTCTTTCTCAGCCTAACCTAACTCCCATGGTGTTTCTGAGGATAAAATGGAGGAGGGGAGAACTTGTATAGCACACTGAGCTCCTTGGAGGAAGGACACAGTAAAAAAATGTGACAGACAAGCATCACAGTGTCCATGCAAAGACGTCTATGTCTGTACATTAATCTACTTCGTAAGTGCAGTACTAGTTTTAATGTATCAGTCCTTGCTATGCTCATCAAAGGATGAAGCATGGCCTCCAACTGGTTCCCTAGTACTTATGTATGCTAATACTACACTTGGGTTCTGTATAGGGTTGTCAACTCCAGATTGGGGAATTCGTGGATATTTGGGTGGGTGAAGTGCAGGGTTTGGGGAGGACAGGGACCTCAGCAGGGTGTAATGCCAACAGAGTTCATCCTCCAAAGCAACCATTTTCTCCAGGAGAACTGATCTCTCATCTGGAGATCAGGTGTGAATCTGGGAGATCTCTGGGCCCCACCTGGAGGTTGGCAAACCTAGTTTTGCATGGTATGGCTTTACCATATGTCTCTGAAGGGTAGAATTCAGCAAGGTTGTCATGTTTGGAGACAACTCTGTGATGCTGGAAGCAACTTGGGAAGCAACATTTAACAATGTACATTTAAAATGAGTTGTAAGGAAACCTATATTTACTATTTCTGTCATTCAGTAGTCGCATTGACTGGCCACCAGCCCTCATGGAAGCAACTGAGTGATCTTGCAATCATAGTAATAGTTTATTGCTCTTCATTGGTATGTCACTTAGCCATGACCTACATGCCAAAGTATAAAACTAAATGAGAGCAAATCGCTGTTAGCATACGTGACCCCACACATCAACTTTTCTGTGACAGACTTGGAAATTGCTATACTTAAAATATCTTCAGAGAGAGGCTGCTGAGTTGGAATGTTCATACAGGTTTGATGCTGTCAGATGTGGGTTCAGCACAGGCTGGGAATGAGTAGCTCACTACGAAAAGGTATTGTCCCCCTCTCTGTGTTTGATCTGGCTTTACCAATTCATCAGCAGTTGGGAGTGACCCACTCCCACTGGATTATTCACTGTCTCTGTTTTCTTTTTAGTGGATCGTGTTTCCATTTGTGCTTTGCATAGTGATGTGTGGTTCACTTATCTGTTCCATTTCTGAGCCTTTTATTCTGCCCTTTTCTGTCTTCTTCCTTGTCTCCCCGTTTTCTCATTACAACCCTTGTATGGATAGGAGGTTGGGCTGTGGCCACAGTAAATGTTTAAGGTACCCCAAGACTCCTTGTTTTCATTTTTCATTACCAAGACACACCATTTTATGTTACTCTTCTACAAGGTCAAAAGTTATTCAAAAATCTCTTTTCAAGAGGCAACAGTGTCCGATTCCTCTGGCACATGAAGAGAGACCAGAGCTGTAGCATCCTCCGGGGTTCCCTTGTTCTCTAGCAGGGTCTTAGGAGGGCCTCAGATGGGCCACGAGGAGGGGGGGGGGTCGCTTCCACCCTGCTCCCTCTCTCCAGGCTTGGTTGCATCCTTTCCGTCCTGCAGTCCAGGGAGTGGCCAGGCTTTTCCTCCTTGGCCCTTCCTGCCTTTTGAAGGGTTCCCTGTGGGAGGAACATCACCTGCTTCTCCTCCCTCCAGTCCAGGGGCTAGGCCCTGTAGACTGTCAGGAGCCAGGGCCAGTGGAGCTTCCTCCTGGGTCTGGGTGCACTGTCCTCCACCCCACCCCACCCCCGGCCTCCTCTAAAGGAGCTTGCTTCCAGCCCATTCTCAGGCTCAGTCCCCTTTTCCGATGCCTCCAGGTGCTCTCCCTGTCTGGACCTTCCCCATATTGGCCTGGATCCCACTCTGCCTCCTTTGTTCTCACCACACCCCCGGGATCCTTCAGGCCTTGGTGTGTTGCTGGGCTGCTCCCTTTGCTCTCACAGTACGCTGCAGCCTCCCCAGCTGAATTGGGCTCCTGCAGAACTCTTTCTTGCTGCGGCTGGCCCTGGGACACTTCCAGCCAAGGTGGTAAGGGCAGGGGTTCCACCTCTGAACAAATAATATCTTAAAGAGTGTGATGATTGTTGCACAAATACTATTGAACTAGCAAGCAACTCTTTTTGGAATCTATGATTTAAACACTGTTTTCTTCAACAGGTCAGTTTGAAGCCTTCAGTAAAATGGGCTCCAAGCATTCCTACCTTACACTTGTTTCACATTGCTTGACTTTGTTTTCCACTGTTTGGAGTTACTTTCTTGGGGCCGTGTTACAAGCAATGCAAGGGTGCACATGTGGGGAGACAGCCACCTTAACACTATCATGTGAATATCACACATGTTTATTTTGCCACATATATGGAGGAAGGGGAAAAGAAGGCTTACAGCAAAGAGGAAGGTGGAATTCCTTGGGGGGGGATACCATTGGATACTCCTTGAGTCCTAATTCCCCCTTTGGAGCCCAACTTTCAACGTGTACAGCATGCTGCTGCCCCTGCTGCCAGTGTTTATTGGTAGCATACATACATAGCCCCTGTTTCCTGTTAGTACTGAGAGGAGCATGCACTTCTCCCTTCTCAAAACTGACTTTTCATGCACATCCTTAAGCACTGGCAAATATGCAGGGATCCTGTTATGTGCCTTTCTGGTCTGTACGCATCACATATACACACGTTATAATTAGATACATTCATTTGAGAGAATCTTCCCATTCCCCTTTGGGCAGATTTATCAGTCTGAACTTTGATAGAGTTCTTCACTATTTAAAAACAAACAAACAACAACCCAATATTTATATTCATTCTAATGCACATTTCTCTTTTTTTTCCCCTAGTGCTGCTGTTGGCATTGGTTTCTATGGCAACAGCGAAACCAATGATGGGGTTTATCAGCTGATCTATGCCCTTGATAATGCTAATCACACTTTCTCAGGGATTGATTCACTGGTAAGAAATTTACAGGGTTGGTTTGTGAAAGGTTTGTCTTTATCTGGGGCCCACAGAATCTGTGGAAGAACTGAATTTGGCGGCAGCAGAAGAAGCATCAATTGTTATGAATCTTCTTGGCAAAAAAGTGAAGCATTAGTGTTAAGTCGGTTACTTAACAAAGAGTCATAGAGTGATTTCAGCAAAAGATCAGCTTTATTCAGCAACTCGTAACTCAACTCCGAACAGATCAACATGAATAGCCAGAACAACTTTAGCATTGAAGCTGTTCTGCTTTTAAACTCTCCCGGCTAATGTAACCACACCTACTATACAAAACACCAACCTATGAGGTTGCAGGGATAAAGTCCGATCACAATAGTTCCCGCTCTTGGAACTGGCTGTTGGTGATTGGTCGGCTCTTCCTGGGCTACCAATTACAATTGAAGGATTAGGATCCTAGCCCAGGATGAAAGCTTCACATGGTGATTCAATGAGTGAGTTCACATACATACATTGTAAGATTGAATACACCACAATTAGTTGTTGAAGCCTTTTTATTACCACCATGTTGTCAGAAATTTGACCTCTCTCCTACACAGGCTGTCTTCACTTGAGGAGTTTGTGCCTCTTCAGTGAACAACTTTTATTCTATGTGAGACAGAGATGAGAAGGAGTGGGGAGTGCAAAGGCACTTGTGATTTCTGGTCCTTCAATCAATATTGTGAGCAAAGCTGATGATGATACTTCTCTTTCTGACATCAGTGCTGCAGCTGGGTTGCATTCTCTGACGTAGGAGTGCAGATGAAACTTAACCAAGGGAGAAAAATGGCTTCTCAACAGAGTTCAGAAAAAGGAATCTTGGCTCTCTTACACAATCCTGTTGTCATTTCCCCCCTTCGCACCTCTTCTGGGAAGCCCTAGTCCCCTCACCTAACATTCAGTTCTCAATTTATTACAGTAATAGACCAGCAAACAATACAGTAAGAGGCAAGTAAATAACAGGTAAAAGAACAGTGAAATTATAAAATATAATAATATCTAAAATTATAAACAGGAATCTAAAAAGTTTAAAGTACAGAAATGGTAAAAAATAATATTAAGATCAAAGGTTAAAAATAAATGTAGGCCTATCCATACTTCTTTATTTCTTTCCTAGTTTGGTATGCCAACCAACCAAATTTGGCAACCGTCCTAGTCAGCTTTTGATTATTACCTGCCAGCAACCTGGGTGGGAGTTAACAATAGGCTTAACCAGAACTTCCCTAATGTTATGATACAAACTACAATTGAAAATTACGTATTCCAACATTTCATGAGTTCCCATCCCATATATACAACAGTGATCTAGTAAATCTGGCCTCTAATATAGCTGAAGGTAAGGCATTGTATCTTAAAAAGGTAAAAATTCTTCTGTGGTTACAGATATCTAAATATTTGATTTAAGGTCTCAGTTATCTTGTTAAATATACTCAGGGGACATTTCGTTAAAAAAAAAAAAGAGGTGCATGAGCTCATTTGCATAACTCATTTGCATATGCCACACCCCCTTGCAAAGGGCAGGCATGCAAGGATGCCTGGGTTTCCTGCCTGATCTCCAGATGGCCCATGGCTGCGGGGCACCTGGAGAAGATTGGGCAGGGAACCCAGGCATGTTTAGAATGCCTTTCTCTGCCTTCCCCAGATGGGAAAAGAAAGGCATTTAAATCCCCCCCCCCACTCCCCCGAGTTTCTCTGCAAAAGCAGAGAGGCTCAGGGGAAAGGGGGGGCATGTCTGCCTGCCTCCCCTTCCCTTTTCCAGTCAGCCCGTGGAGGGGACGGCAGGGAACAGGGAAAATCAGGCAGGGAATCCAGAAAATCGGGCAGGGAACCCAGGCATGTTTAGAATGCCTTTCTCTCCCTTCTCCAGCATTCCCTTTCTCTCCCTTCCTACCGGCCTGAGAAAGAGAAGGTTTCAGGCACCCAGATCCTCTTCCTTCCTCCCCCCCCCCCTCATCGTAAGCACACCTCTGTCATCTCTCACTCTCTGGCCCTATACACTCCACTGGGTTCTTCCTCAAACCTTGCTTGGCAGCCTCCCTTATGTACCATCCTTGGCTCCACCCTTGGACCTTGGCTCCAATCAAGATTCGGCCCTGCCTCTTCCTGGAAGTGATAAAAGGAGAGCGGATCCACTCCACTCTCAGGGCTGTCTGTCCTTTGCTCTTCCTCCTGGTGTCAGACCCAGCCTCCATTCTCCATCTTTTTCATACCTTGGCCCTTCCCAGATGCTGGACTTCACCCCTGCAGGCCGCCACTGGGCTGTCCAGGTCTCCAGCCTCCTCTCTAGCAGTGATGAGGGCCACTACTTGGTTGAGGCCTGTCACTGCGCCCCCCCCCCCCAAGCTGGCCACTACTCCCGGGTTCCCTGCTGTCTCCTTCTCTAAGTAAGGGCCCTCAGGGCACTGGGTTGTTTGTGGCTTGCCCAGTGAGAAGGGGGATTAAGTGGGGTATGGAAGCTGGCCTCGGACAGTCTCAGTCTCCGCTGTCCACGTAACCAAAATCCTCCTGGACCAGAGAGAATTGCTGTCCTTCAGATGTGCATATCTTGTCCATCTCATCACATCTGGATGTGACCATCAGTTTATGTAAACATAATCTTCTGGGCACATTGGGTTGGATCCAATCTAACTTTTCCCCTAACAGAAGGGGAGGTATAATTTCTGCCCATTCCCCCTGCCTTCTGCAGACCCCTGATGTTTTTTCACATACCATTCCTGCAGGTCCCCTGTTGCCCAGGAGCAACATTTTGAGAACAATGGACTGCTTGGAGGGGGGGGGGGGAGAATAGGAAGGTTCTGTTCTGCTGATGGAAGTGCCTTCTGTTAGTGAGAAAGTTAGCTTGGAGCCAATCCCCCTTTTTTTGTTAATTAATTATTCTTCTGAACAATTGCACTCAGTGTGTAATAACACAAGCAACCTAATCCAGCAGAAAACCTCATCAGTACACCCTTCCTTCAGCAACTATAATCTGCAAATCCTTGCAGACTGATGTTCACACATGCTAAATAATGCAGTTTCAATTCACTTCAGCAATTGTTTGCAAGTGGATGTTACCTTTTTATACAGTAAACTCCAGTTGCAAAGTGCACAGAAAGTGGATTGAAAGTGTGTTATTTAGCGTGAAAGCGCCCTTGTTTTGGGGAAACAGCTGTTTGTCTTCTACAGATTACCAGGGTCATGTTGTGCCTTTGCAGGGTGTGGGTCATACTGACAACTTTCACTTTGCATCGGACTTGGCCCAGTCATCATCACAGTCATGTCAGTGAAGGTGGAGCCATCAGGGCAGGCTGTCTTGGTGGCCATCCTAGTTGTCAGTAAGCAGGATTGTCTGGGAAAGCTCTGCTCTCTTTTCCCAGCTGAGGTAGTTCTGAATTATGGCATCTCTCAGGAGTCCCTTGGGCCTTCCTTTAGAAGGGAAACGAGAGGCTGATGAATCTGCCCCAGATTGTGTGAGAGATGTGACCATTTTTTGCTGCATTCTTCCTCCACTAGTTGCTGCCAGTTTCCCACTTCAGTCTTCACTAGCTCCCCAGAACTTGTTTCCCAGCATGCTTTCCTGTCACTGGTTCCCCTTCTTTCCTGGAAGGGAGGCAGAGGCCCTGGGACAAAGCTCTTCTAGACCCAGCAGGGAAACAAAAAGCCACTCTTCCACACACACACACACACACACACACACACGTCCGTCTTGGCAGCTGTACTTCAGCAGCCCTGCCTGATTTCACAGCCTAATGGTTGCATGTCTAGGTTTTATTTAGCTCTTCTTTAAAACAAAAAAATCTTCCTTTCCACCCACCAGCTCACAAAGCAGATGCATTCTAACTGTTAAAATATGAGGATGCAAAAAAAGCACTGGAAGGAGGGAAGGACTGGTTCATTCAGGTAATGGTGTTGATACTTCATTACCCCAAGCATTAGTGAGTAATGGCAGCCAACAACATTAATCTCAACTGTTTGCATGTATGTAAAATCAGGTGAGGCAGCAAAACAAAGTTTGAGTTCAGTGACATCTTTAAGACCAACAAAGTTTTATTCAAGGTATAAGCTTTTATGTGCACACACACTTCTTCAGATACTTCTTCAATGTGCGTGCACACAAAAGCTTATACCTTGAGTATAACTTTGTTGGTCTTAAAGGTGCCATTGGACTCTTTGCATGTATGTTATTTGAATGGTGTTTCATTTCTTGTATGCTGTGGGAGTAGGCTAAGATGGTTTGGCACTAGTTCTGGGCTGAGAAAACATAATTTTCCAATTATTTTAATTTTTTGCAGCATGTGAGTTGCTGTCACATTACAATAGAAGACCGCTTTTAGACTGGAAAGGGCTGCTTTGCTTTGAGTATCTACTCAAGATGAATTGGCATACATTAATTTAACCATTTTTCTGCTTTAACCATTTTCTGTCACACAACAGGCAGTTTAAGTGGTACAAAAATATACTTTGTCTATTCTTTTAGTGGATTTATATGTTAAGTGACGATTTTAACTTCCTTCTTGGAATATTTTGAGTGTAGAATACAGGCAGGTAATACTTACTTTGCATCTAAAAAACAGAAACACAATTTTAGGTGCCCAAGAGAGACCAGCCAAAATACAGGGGGATCTGTCTGTTTGTTGCTTATAATAACTGGAGGAATCCCTTTGTCCTGTCAAGATGGAAGGATGGTCAAGTTGATGTTGGCTACCCATTTTGCCAATAGAAAATCTGAATATGCAAGAACACCAGACCATTAGTTCTCATAAATCTGTTATTACCCTTTTATGACAGGTCTATGGCACTACTAGACAGATGAAAGTAACGTTGGAGCAGCACATGGCTCGACTGAATGAGATCTTTGCCACTCAGGGTGATTATGTGCAGACCCTCAAGTTCATGCAGCAGATGGCAGGCAACATTGTCTTGCAGCTCTCAGGGCTCCCTGTCTGGGAGGATGTTACTGTACACCTGTCCCAGGTGACTACTGAAGTCAGCTCTGTGGAGTATTACAGGTAAGTGAGAGTGGCCGTCACAGAGGTAATGGGGCATTAAAGAGGTTGATTCTGAGTGATTGACACCAACCTTCTTGACCCCTTTTGCCTGAATCCTATTTTAAACTTTCATGCTCTGTGTGTGTGTGTGTGTGTGTGTGTGTGTAAAGTACTGCTCATGCAGCAATAGCCTTGAGCAGAAAATATAAAATAAAATAGTGCAGCAATAGCCTTGAGCAGAAAATATAAAATAAAATAGTGCCTTACATAATATTATTCTTCTAATATTTAATTATTGTCCCATAAATTTTGCCACAGAAAGAGTAACAGAATAATTTATATCCAATAATAACCACTTCAACCAAATTCCTCTTTAAGCATTTTAATATTTTTAAATAAAGGCCAGTTTGGCCAGAGATCCTGGAGGTTTTCTTATCATCTTCTGGGCATGGAGATGGGGTCACTGGGGGTGTGCGTGGGGGGAGGTATTTCCTGCATTGTGCCGGGGGGGGGGGGTGGGTTGGATTAGAAGACCCTGGTTGTCCCTTCCAACGCTATGATTCAATAGTTCAGTAGCTTCAACTTTGTCATATGAGCATCTATATGTTCTGTTTGACCACCAAAGGAAGGGCATTCAACCTTGCCAAAGTAAAAGCTCTTCTGAGTTTTGGTATTGTCAAATGATAAAAATACTTCAGCAGTTGCATTGGAAGGGCAGTACCCAAATAAGATACCAAGCATACCCTATGGGCTCTGGCAGATGTGCTATTAATATCCAATTTCTTAACAAGCATTTTAATTAGCCTGTTTATTTCTTTGGTTGTAATCTTAACCATATCATTTGTTATTCCTAGACATTTCATTTTCTTTTCCAATAAATGATCCCACTGGCTATTATGTGCATCTGCCTGTACAAGTCCAAGTAGAGTAGGCCCCAGGGCCGGTGCCAGGTTTTTTTGCACACTAGGCGAGGCTACCCTTCTGGCGCCCCCCCCCCCCCCCCCCCGCCCACCAATTTTCAAACATACTTTTTCTTGACAATAGTCCCTATTGACCTCAGTAGTACATACGTCTGTACATATATTGGGCAAGGCTGTTAAGAACCAGTATTAAGAACAGTCATACCTGGTATGCCTCCTTCTTCTGGGCATTTGTCAGGATCTGGCTCGTATATACCGTAAGCCCCACAGACCATGAGCTTCCAAATTCTGAGGCTTGTCCATTTCCTTTCTGCTCCTAACCCCCAACATAGTGTTCTGTCCCAACTCACACCCAAAGACTATGAAGGTCTTACCCTGAAGACCAAAGCTACAGCTGTCTTTCATTGGCCCCTTAATTCTCCCTTGTCTTTGCCTTTCTTTTGCTTAGGACCGCACTGTTAGCCACCCACAAAGCGAAACACTTCCCTCCTTCCACTGCCTCTCCTTCCTTCCTAAATGTGTCTCTGGAGCTTGAAGCAACCCGTTCAGATCATGTTCTGCGGAGAGGGGCCGAGGGGCTCTCCCAGGTTCAGGATAGGATTGGGGGGGTGCTCTTTTTCACGCCCTGCTGCATCCCCCCCTCCTTTCTCTCTGCTTTAGCATTGCGGCCCCAACCCATAATTTCCCCCCTCCAGACACCTTTGAACTCACCACAAATCCCATCAAGCCATGCAAGCAGCAACCCCTGGGAAACTGAAAGCTGACTCTGTAAGAGGGGCAGGAAATGGCTTTCCCCCATGCCGCTCCCAATTACCTCTCTAGGACAGCAGATTCTCTCTCTGTCTCTTTAACCCTCAGAGAGCATTTCACCAGTTCAAGGGACCCAGGACAAAAATGCAGGGAGGTTCTGGCGAAACGGCAGGCTTCTCATGTTAATCCAGCATCAAAGTCTGTGAACCACCTTGCCGAGAGCCAGTTTGGTGTAGTGGTTAGGTGCGCGGACTCTAATCTGGGAGAACCGGGTTTGATTCCCCACTCCTCCACTTGCACCTGGCTGGATGACCTTGGGCAAGCCGTAGTTCTGATAAGAGCTGTCCTTGAAAAAGAGCAGTTTCTGTCAGAGCTCTCTCAGCCCCACCTACCTCACAGGGTGTCTGTTGTGGGGAGGGGAAGGGAAAGGACTTTGTAAGCCGCTCTGAGACGCCTTCGGGAAGTGAAGGACGGGGTATAAATCCAATCTCTCCTCTTCTTCTTCGTCCGTGGGTTGCCTCGCCAGATGGGCCTGCCGGCGCCTTGGTGGGGCAACTTCCTTCCTTCCCTTACCGGTGGCCAAGAACAGCGGAGGGTGGGACTGGGGGGGGGGGGCGCCTCTGCGCTCGGCAGCCCAGGAAGGGGCGGCCCAGGAAGGGGCGGCCCGTAGCCTGAGACGGCGGGCGGGAGCTGCGTGCAGTGTGTGCAGCACGTGCTTGGCAGCGGCTATGGTGACTGAGGAGCACACAGGCGTACAGGGTGAGCAGAGGAGGCAGCACATGCACAATCTTTTGGTAAGGTGAGGGAGGGGCAGGGCGGGGTGGGAGGCCAGTGCAGCGCCGGCACTCCCCATATGGGGCGCTCCAGGCAAACGTCTAAAATTGTCTATGGGTGGTCCGGCCATGATAGGCCCTCCCTCGGATGTTAAGATCTTAACTTTCAGGAGGAATGCTTTTATCCATGCCTTAGCCTCCATCGATAATTCACTCAATTCAGCTCTCAGCACTATGCTCAAGACACATTTGGGAGTTGCCAATAAGCATAGGAAAAAATCGTACTGAATATGATCCATTCTCTCAGAGACAGCATTGATCCAAATTTCCGCACCATACAAAGGTTGGTTTGTGACCCTGGCTGTATTCTTCAGCAGGTTCAAATGTAATTTCCATGTGAGAAATGCATCAAACTGGTTTCTCAAGTATTTAAATTGATTAACCTGTCCAATAGATTGGCCTGCTCTTTTCCTTTCATTGTACAAGTTTGAATCTCTCAGAGCTCTGGAGTTAAAAGGTTCTGGCATTCAACTGGTGGCTTTTGGTGTGCACAATCAGGGAGTCACTGTTTCCAGCTGGGTTACCAACCTCACAGCGGGGCCTGGAGTTCTCCCAGGATTACAACTGATCTGAAGACTACAGAGATCAGTTCCCCTGGAAGGGAGGGTGAATTCTATGGTATACCATCCCCTCTGAGTTCTTTTCATCCTCAAACACCAACATTCCCAGGCACCATGCCTAAATTTCCAGGAGTTTCCCAAGCAGGAGTTGGCAACCTTAGTTCCTAGCCTTAACCTTTGAGGATCTGCTATGAATTAAATGGAAGCTGGCAATATAGAAAATGCTGCATCACCTGGTATATCGGCCTAAGAAATGTGGAGAATCACCCTTGGCTATTAATCTCAGCCAAAAGATGGTACTAGCTAAGAGGTTTTTAATATTAAATAATGTTAAAGGAGGTTTTAATACAAAAGAGAAATGTAATTGCAATTGACACAAAGAAGAACTTTGGGGGAGGCATTTTGTGTAAATGAGGATTCATATGAAAGGTTTACTAGTGGGTCAGAGACAGATGATGTCCACCATGTTTTCAAAGGCTGATCTAGGCAGCTTTCTGTTTCTAGGCATGTAATTTCAGTGCTTTTTTATTACAGTCCAGGCAATGTGGGAAGCATTAGCCTGTCCTGTTTTCTGTTTGTGTAAACAATGGCTAGAGTTCAATACAGAGCTCAGATGGGATGTGCAGACTGCATAATCAGTCCCTCACTATCACAGGGCATTGGTCCTGGAGCTGTTTTCCTCTAGGGATTTTGTTGAGTACAAAGTAGCTGTTGAACCATTGTGTTGGGATCTAGAATCTTGCTTGCTTGCTGGTTGGTTGGTTTTAAAGCAGAGGAATCCTAGGTGGGCATTTGTAATGCTTGGTTACATATCAACAACAACAATTCCTTTTAACATACGATTTGAAAGCTTTCATAGTTCCAGTTGGAAGCTTTATTACTTTAAAAAAATGTGCTGTATGCAGGTGACCGTAGAACCCCAGAACTCCCTCAGCAGATTGCGGAGAGCTACTTTCCTGGAGAATGTCAGGGTTGTCTATCTAAGAACTCTGGTGAGGCAAGGCTGATGAAACAAAATAGATGTCCAGTAGCACCTTAAAAACTAACAACAGTTACTCCAGCTTAGGATTTCATGAATCAGAGCTCATTGCTTTATCTGCAATGGACAAAAAGGAAATCGTTTTCCTCATATGTATTCTGACGGATAGAGAATGAGGGAGGGGGTAGACTTGAGCAAAGAGAGGCCTGATATCATAAATCAGGTGTGATTCTCTGTCAGGGACTTGAACAACTTTGAGTGTTAGAGATAATGGGTTATGAGAGAAGTCAGATGTTCTAGCCTCTCTTCTACAGTGAAGAACAAAGTCTGAGTCCAGTGGCACCTTTAAGACCAACAAAGTTTTATTCAAGGTATAAACTTTTGTGTGCACGCACACTTCTTCAGATACAAATAAGTGTGCGTGCACATGAAAGTTTATACCTTGAATAAAACTCTGCTGGTCTTAAAGGTGCCACTGGACTCAAACTTTGTTCTACTGCTTCAGACCAACATGACAACCCACCTGATTCTACAGTGAAGATAAACAAAAGTGCAATAAAGCTGGGTAAATAACCAAATAATTAAGGAAGGAGGAGTCTGAAGCATGACAGAATCAACTGACATCAGTGAAGGGTCATGATATGATAGAACATGTCAAAAACTGTTTATTAAAGTTGAGTGAAGAAAGACAATGTGGTGGCCTTCTGCCTGCCTAAAGGCTGAGGGATGCAACCAATACTTCTCCAAGGCCATGTTGGCATTACAAGAGTTTGCAGAGGAAAGTGGTCACCTGATGGTTCTATCATGCCACCAGACTAATTTTTCCAGGACAGCAGAATCCCCTCACTTTCTATATTTGATGAACCAACTTTGTCTCCACCCCCCCCCCCTGTACAGATGCACAGAGACCAAAAAAAAAAAGCTATTCCCATATCTTCCATTTCTTTTTCTCTAAAGCTGCAAGTCTCAGTATTTAAGC